AGATGCACATGTGGTAGAAAAACAAAGTTCTTTAAGACCCGTGGGATTGCTTGTAATAAAAAGCACGAAAGTCAACCATTTCTGTCAGTGGTGAGTTTTAATTTAAAATAGGGGGAAGTTGTGGCCTAATGGTTAGAGAGTTGGACTCATAACCCAAAAGGTTGTGGGTTCGAGTCTCGCACCGGCAGGGATTGTAGGTGGGGGGAGTGAATGTACAGTGCTCTCTCCCACCTTCAATACCATGACTGAGGTGCCCTTGAGCAAGGCACCGAACCCCCAACTGCTCCCCGGGCGCTGCAGCATAAATGGCTGCCCACTGCTCCGGGTGGGTGTGTGTGTGTGTTCACTACTGTGTTACATTTAAAAATGTTTCCACTTGTTTAATGGTAAAAAGTGTATAAATCACTCTTTTTTTACTAATTCCGAGTATGGGTCACCATACTTGGCCACGTGTCACGTCAGTCAGAAATGTTTGTGATAGCTTTAACGTAAGAAAAATAGGCTGTATGCTGTGTTTAAATGTGTTGCCACTTGCTTGAGCAACTTATCATACAAACCTAGATGTCAAATGCATGAATAATACGTTGTTTATATTTATTGAGTTTAAACTAATGTCTATGCAAGATTGTTACTGTACTGTGATAGAGTATCACAATGCTGAAATTATTTGAATTATTTGAAATCAAAATAATGGATAAATGTTGTGTTTGTGGCCTAAACAGTCGCGGATCAGTAGCGGACTGCAAACGCGTCCTGTGTGAAAGCACAATGAGTCCGTGCTGCTTTTGCACTGTGCACTGCAGACGGAGTATGTGTGAAACAGGCGTAAAAGCCAGTAATTGAAGTCACAACAGGTAGCAGCTGTCAGCAGTTGGCGGAGCTACAGTTACTATGTCAGAGAGATTTCCAACAATGCATTTAGTATAGTACAATTAAAATATAAGTGCATCGATATTAGTACAGCTCAGGGGCATTTCCTCCAAGTAGGCCAGGGAGGCAGTGTCTCCTCCAAAATATTGGATGAGAAAAAATTCATAGTACAAAAATAAAAAACACCCATATTACAAAGTATAACATTAAAAAGTGTATAAATCACTCTTTTTTTTCTAAAGTAACACTGTCCAACAGTGACACCCGCAGGTAAAGTTACAGAGGAGGCTTGCCTGATGAAGAGCCTGCGTGCTCGAAATGTTTTTTTTTTAAATACATTTTTTGATACTTTTGGAGCTTTGGTGTTGCCGACTTTACATTTAAAAATGTTTCCACTTGTTTCTTAGTCGAGCACCCAGTTGAGATCGATGTGCGTGCTTTTGCCTGCTCTTCACTTGCCTCCCCTGAGCCCATTGACTATTAAGAGAGATCCCATAGCATGCCGTGACTTTACTGGGGAGTAATTGAGAATGAATGGGGGAAAGTCACGTGAGAGGAGGCAATGCCTCCATCGCGATATGATTGGAAATGGTTATGTTTGGCTGTGATTGGTTCATGCGATAAATACCGCCTCTTGTGTTCGTGCGATTTCCTTGTTCGCAAATCAGTCTGAATGAACAATATAATGGCGTGAATGGGAAGACTGATTAAAGTAAACAACTCACACACTTAGATATAACCATATTGTTACATCAAAATAAGACTTAAAATGGCATGAAAACATAATCTGTGGGAGATTTTAGTGAGCATTCAGCTTGGTGAAATTTGATGACTGATGATCTGAAAAATTTTAAAATAGCTAACTATTAAAAAGAATAGCTGAACATAAGTTCACAAATAAAATATATTGTTTAAATTATACTGCTGTGAGTTATTATTTTAATAAATGTAAAATGCTTAAAAACACTAACTTGAGATTAATACATGGCTTTAATAAATAGAATATTGATTACATTGTTTTTAATGTAAAAATATAAAACAGAATTGTATTTTTTTTTATAGTGTAAATAATGTTTATTTAACCAAGAAAATGTGACTGGGACATGAATTTACACATTTGAATTAAAAAAACAAAAATCTTTGAGGACTTTCCGAACACCTGTCAGACTCTGTTCCTTGTTTTGTGTGTGTTTTGCTCCCCATGTGCCTTCCTTGCCCTTATTTTGGTAAATTTCCTGTTCCTGCTCCCTGATTGTTTCTAATTTGATTCCAGGTGTGTCTCGTCTTCCCTTGATTAAGTAGTGTTCTTAAGCCTTGTGTTTCCCTGTCTCCAGCGTCCATTGTCAAACATCTGTTCCCCATGCTACGTGTGCGTTCATGCCTGTATGTGAGTCTTTATTTGGGTTAATAAAGATTGCTCCCTGTTAATTGCTCTGACTCCTCGCTTCCTCGTTCTTACACAGTAGCAGTAGCCGAATCGTGACAACACCACCACCGCACACCACTGGTACAGCTTAAGTTCTTTTTTTTACCTGGGTATTTGGATTTTTTTTTTTTTACTTTAAAATACAGTAGGCCTATTCTAAAAAAGTTATTTTAAGTTTGTTTTTTGCAGAGTTTATTTTTATACATATACTTCCTACCAATGAGCTCCCTTTGTCAGTTTTTGACATGGAATTTGGTTATGAGTTGTATAAAGGTTCCACATGCCACAAAGCACATTTTGTTCATCTAAAAGGAACAGGGAAGTGCTAATGCAGATAATTTGCATACAAATGTGATATTATCTACAGGTCAGGTTACATGGGACTATTTAAACCCCCTTAAATCAACGAGGCAACCCAGCAGGCAAGTTTGCATTTTATGCATGTGATAGCTACATAGTGATTCACATATGTATAAAATTTGCATTGGAAAGTGCATTTGTATTGTCTGTATGCAAATGCGTTGTGTATTTATGTGTATGCTTGTGTGTTGTTAAACACAGTCTTGACCATGCATACTTTTACTGGTGTGTGCAATTTGTTAACTCCAAGAGCCAAGTTAACCCCTTAACTGTCACCTGTGGGACGCTTGGCGCTCTTTTCTGTTGTTGTCCTTTTTCTCTATCAAACCTTTTAGTAATCATAAAGTATATATCATTTGAAAGCTTAGAAGCCCAAGATTCATCCTGTGAAACCTATTTTGAAATTGTACATTGCGTTACCATAGAAATGGTACTTTAAAATCTTTTGGCGGTCTCCTCCCCCTTAGTGGGCAGTGCCAAGTGTCATATTACAAAATGCATTATGGGCTTTTAGAATCAAACCTTTTTATAATAATTTATTTTGAGATAGAAGTAATATTGACAGAGAAATCTAGAAATTTGTGACAGAATAATTCATGAAAAAAATGTAATGGAGTTTGGATGGCACCTGGTGGCTGTTTGTGGTATGACGTCCTAAATAAAATTTCACAGGAACCTCAGTTTTTTTCATATCAACTTCAAATTTGGAACAAAACTTTAGACATAAGGTTGTAATTTTATACCAATTTTAGAGTAAAACCTGTTATGTAACATTTATAATAAATAAAATAAAATTTATATTGTGCATTTTATTTACAGTACATACTTTTATAACTTTTTGATACTTAAATTTTTTTAAATCAAATTTTGCAATAATCTGCTGATTTTCTTCTTTACAAAGAGACCAACCTTAGGTCTGTATTCCAAAGTGTTAATAAATTACAACAATTTAAGTTTGGATAGTGCACTTTCATGCCTATTTTAAAAAATGGGGGGTGACAGTTAAGGGGTTAAACTGGGCTGCATTTCCCAAAAGCATTGTAAGCCTATGAAAATCATAGAAATTATCATCCATAGAATTTATTGTATCTTTACTTAAGTTAGGTTATAGCGTCCTATGCTGAATTCAGAATTGCATACTAAGATAGATCATGATACTATTTCTGCTATAATTTTATATTGAATAATAGTAATAGTTGAAATAATAATAGTGAAATAATAATAAGAGTAGAATGCCAGTGCTATTCTGAGCTCAGCTGACACATGCAGTCACTGAATAAATTCAGAATCGCCCACTAATATCAGCACCCTTGGTGTTTTGTAAAAACAACAAGATACTCGCAACATGCTGATTTTGCATGGTTTGTGTGGTGGTTAACACTGTCACCAGCACACCAGAAATGGCTTTTATGTCCCACAGAAGAAAGAAACAAATTTACAAGTTTACAATAACTTGAGTAAATGACCTCATATCTGGTGTTAATGCATTTATGTTTTTAATGTTTTGTAGCCTGGAATATTTTTATACTATGTAGAGAGAGAGATACGATACATTGTATATCTCTGTGTTATGCAAATTATCTTGGTTCTTGTATCTTGCTTTACAATTAATTTAAAATAAAATAAAAAAATTTTAAAAGACAAAATTGTGATAGGCTATGTTCAGACTCATCATCAGTCACAGTAAGCTTAAACTCTTTCCTATCGAACAGTCGACAAGACATATTATTTGAAGTCAATCAGTTACAAGAATAATAAACCAGGGAGGCCAGGTTGAATTCTTGCAGGTCCTAGTGCATGTAGGAGTAAAGGGAAATGAGAGTGCGGATGAGGTGGCAAAAAAAAGTGTTAAAGAGAGCAAATGTAGAAATGCAAATAAGAATTAGTAAACCAGAGATGAAATGCATAATCTGGGGGGGAAATCAACCAAATGTGACAAGAAAGGTGTGATGGAGAGGGGAAGGGGAGACATTTATATCATAAAAGAGTATCAAATGGAAACAGAAGAGGATGTAGTATTGATATTAGTCATTAAGAATGGTGAGGAAACATCAGACAGGTTTGCTTGTGTGAGGACTGTCAGAAAGAGAAGTCAGTGGAACATGGAATTTAGAATAGCAGAAAATATGAAATACAGAGGGATATAATGAAAAATAATCTGAATAAATTAGGGGTACAGGAGATCACTTTAAAAGCAGTCCTGGAGATAAATACGAGAGCACAGGTCAGAGAACTGGGCTCTTCTACAGTATATGGTTTATATAAAAGTATGATCCACACTCCTGAGCAGAAGGTGGCGGCAATGCACCAATAAGCTAGATGCCAACGGCCGTTAAAAAAGGAGAAGAAGAAGAAGAAGAAGAATTATATAAATCAACATTTATGAGCTCTCTACTGAACATGGGGTCATACAGACGAATAGATTGTATATTTTTTAGTGAATTTCATCCAACTTTAGGACCAAAGATCACATATCAGGTAACGTCATAGAAACATATATTTGGGAGCAAAAGAGAATAAATGCAGTATGTTTGACCATAGATATGAATTGGTATTGGTAAGAAAACTCCGTTAGGGATGCATGCAAGCTAACGTTAATGTTTATATGGTTATATACATACATACAGTTATATTCGTCATGAATTATTTTATGTTTGATCGAAGGTTCCTGAAGAATATATTTCGAGGGAACTTTTTGATACAGTGCAGGTGTACATCATCACCAAACCTGAACTGCAGAACAAGCTCATAACGGTGTACGTACTGGACTTTTTCCTCATCTTATTGCTGCATTGTCGTATTTGTATTTGCACTAAAGTTATACAAATTATAGGCTTATACATGTGCGTTCAAAAATGCTTCCTTGTATGTATAGGCCTACACACACTCACACATTCGTACAACTATATTGACATGTACAATACATACATGCATACATTTAAAAATCTTCATATCAAAGCAATACAAACCAAAATGGAAAGCACATTGAAATGGCAGTCATCCCAATTTTCTCCAACTGAAGTCATATAAATTCTTATTTGGTTCTTGATTTGGAATGGTATAGAAACGGTTACATAGATTTCAGTCTTTCAGTATTTTTTTTTTAACTTAAGTGATTAAATGGCTTTAGCTGCACCCATTGTAGATTTTTTTTTTCCTTTATTACTTCTTGGTTTGCATCTGTGATTTTTACAATTTGGTGTAAATAGGCCTTTAGAGTTATTAATAATGACACTGTTGTGTTTTATCTGTGTAACTGATTAAGGACTGCCATGGAGAAGAAGCTAATAGGTTGTCCAGTGTGCATTGAGCATAAGAAGTACAGCCGGAATGCCTTGCTCTTCAATTTGGGTTTAGTCTGTGATGCCAGGACAAAAACATGTGCTTTAGAACCTATTGTCAAAAAACTGTCTGGCTACCTCACAACTCTGGAGGTAAACGTTCATTTGATAAGTATTCATGTTATGGTATCTTAAAAGTTGGCGCTTATTAACTGTTTCATTACATTTCTTTGATTAGCTTGAGAGTGGATTCATTTCAAATGAGGAGAGTAAACAGAAGCTGTTGCCTATCCTGTCCACACTTCTGGAGGAACTTAATGTTACAGGAGCCTGCACCCTACCTATTGGTTATATATGCATTTTCTATCTCTCTGTTTCCCCCATCAGTGGATGTCATTGTTTTTATAATCACCCTTTCTCGCTCTTTCATGACAGATGACTCGAACACCATCCACTTGAAGCTAATTGAACAAAGGAAAGATCCTCTGGTGGTTCAGGAGTATGATGTACCAGTATTTACCAAGAATAAAGACCACTTTATAAAATCACAATGGGATCTCACCACACAGCAGGTCTCCAAAAAATGTTTCCCACCGTTTACTTTTACTGTCTTAGATTGATTTTATTTGTCTTTTTTATTATCAGGTTTAAATAAATAAATAAACCCCTGCAGTTAGTAAGTCCAAAAAACGGAGAGGGAAAAAACACAATGAACAAAATGTACCTATTGTTTGAAATAGTTTTATTCAACTGGGAGCAAGTTACACACTGACACGACACAGCACGTTTTACCACAGTGTGACTGAAATGAGACGAGCTGAACAGTTTATAACACTCTAATTGTAAAGAATTTAGAAGCAAATGTCCTTATGTAAATAAGATTTTGCGACAATTAAGTTTGTAAAGCTTATTACCGTCTTTCTGTTAACCATTGTTTTTCTGATGTTACATTGATATGCCACTTACACTTTTAGTTGAAACAGGTATAATGTGATTTTATTTGACATACTGCCTTCAAACATTAATTATGTTACAAGTCATTTTGCATTTATATTATTTTTCTTGAATATTTTAATTACTTTTTTTGCAGATCTTACCCTTTGTAGATGGGTATCGACACATTCAAAAAATCTCAGCTGAGGCCGATGTTGAGCTTAATTTGGTGCGGATTGCTGTTCAGAATTTATTGTAAGTATGATGTTCCTATTTTGAGCTGCTGCATTAATCTAAATAATTTATTAAAAGGAATATTCTGTGTTAAATACAGCTTAACCCTCTACCTCATTGGTTCTTCAGCACCCAGTTTTTATTCTGAAAAATGTATAATACTACACAAGTAAACAAAAAGTCTTTAAAGCCACAATGAAATGGAAATAGTGACGGATCTTATATTGTTTATTGTAACTTGTATGGGACTTGGTTCTATGCATTGGTTTTTGAGATGTGGGCGTTGCACTCTAAAGCAGAGGCAGATGAACGTGCAGGGTTTAAGTGGACTAAATGGTTGGAGAAATCCTGCATTCATTATCAGTCTGTAGGTTTCACTGGAAGTTAGAACATTTTGATTAAACATTACAAGGTAATTTTTATAAAAGATAACATATGCATGGTTGAACTGTTCACAATCTGAATTCACATTTTCACATATGAGGCCTATATCATGAAGCTGGTTTAGCTGGCTAGCCAGGTAAATTTCAGTTTAGTTTGTGCCTGGGTTTTAGGCAGGGAACCAGAGACCAAAAAATGCAGATGAGCTGAAGGCCACTGTCAAAGAAACCTGGGCTTCCATACCACCTCAGCAGTGCCACAAACTGATCACCTCCATGTCACGCCGAATTGAGGCAGTAATTAAAGCAAAAGGAGCCCCTACCAAGTATTGAGTACATGTACAGTAAATGAACATACTTTCCAGAAGGCCAACAATTCACTAAAAATGTTTTTTTATTGGTCTTATGAAGTATTCTAATTTGTTGAGATAGTGAATTGGTGGGTTTTTGTTAAATGTGAGCCAAAATCATCACAATTAAAAGAACCAAAGACTTAAACTACTTCAGTCTGTGTGCATTGAATTTATTTAATACACGAGTTTCACAATTTGAGTTGAATTACTGAAATAAATTAACTTCTCCACGACATTCTAATTTATTGAGATGCACCTATAAGTTATTATGGCTGTCTCATTATAGAAAAGCAACCATCACATTCCATAGTAATGAATTGAGACCCAGCTACTGTTTGCAGATATTATACAGTGCCATAAACTTAGTTCTACCTGTTGCAGAATTGTCTGCAATTTCTCTTACAGAACAGCAACTTTTCGTTGTGAACTCCAAAGCAAATGTCTAATGACAGACATGATAAAGATTAGATAACAGGCTGTGTGTACAGAATGTGTACACTACAACATGCCATAGATGCTAGATGACAGCTCAAGTTGTATATAACCCACAATGTTATTGTTATTTTGATATACCTCCTGCTTCTGGCATAAGGTCTCAAACTCTTATTTGTTGACAAATGTATAGATACTATGATGAATTTATCAAAATCTAGCACCTTATTAAAATTTAAATAATGAAATGTTCTAAAACCATAAAAAGATCATTACAATAGTTACAATGATGCAGAAAGTACACATTTCATACATGTAATAGCAGCAAAGTGTGACAAGTCATGGACTGAACAATGCTATTACGTTTCACAGGTATTATGAAGTGGTAACTCTGGTATCCATATTCCAGGTACGTTTTCTGTTGTTGTTGTTTCTTCTTCAGAATTGTATTATACTTTTTCTTAAATTGCTTTTGGTTTTCATATTCTACAGTACTCAAATGTTTACTGCACAACACCTAAAGTACAAAACTTAATAGATAAGAAGTGCCTTCAGGAAGAGTGTATCCACTATGTCAGTAAGCTAGGTAAGCAAGTTCAGCAATTCCAAATGCATGTTTTTTCTGCAACATGTATGTATACGAGTGTGAGTAAAGATAGAAGACATTTTACTGTGTATTTCACCAGGCCAAAGGACTAATCTCAGGGATGTATTCCAGTTGTATTGTGGTCTGACCCCAGGTACGACTGTACGTGACCTCTGTTCCCGCTATTCTCACCAGCTACAGAGGGTGGATGAAAGGCAAGGCCATTTGAATTTGATTGTTGTTCACACTTAAATCCCCACAATTGACATGCCATTTGTAAGACATGTCAATTGTTTGTGTGTGTGTGTTTAAACTACAGAAGGACAGACAATACTGTAAAGATTAAAAAGAATGCTTTTGTGTCCTGTTGGCTTATTTGGCTATTGGTTAAGTACTAGTGTGATCTGTAAGAAGATAAATATTCTATGAAAAATTATTCTACTTTTATCTTTTGTGTTGCTTTAGGAAGTTGATTCAGTTTGGCTTGATGAAAGGTCTTATTCGGCGCCTGCAGAAGTATCCAGTCAAGGTTGTTAGAGATGAGAGGAGTCGTCCACCTAGACTTTATACTGGCTGCCATAGTTATGATGAAATCTGTTGCAAAACTGGTATTATGTATATGTATTATGTATATTTTTTCACAAGAATATTCCTTGATTTGAACCATTTTAAAGAAAGTGACATTATTCCTTGCCTGTTTTTTCAGGAATGAGTTATAAGGAGTTGGATGAGCGTTTGGAGAATGACCCTAACATTGTTGTTTGCTGGAAATAATGTTGCAGAGACAGAATTATAACTACAGACTATTTCAGTTAAAGAAATCATTTGTAACTTGAGAGAAACGGATCTGGTCCTGGTTCTTTGGCAGTCTCAGACTTTTTGTCCTGTACCTTTATTTATTGTAAATCAGTTGCCCTTTATGTATATTTGAAACCATTATAGGTCAAAATATGAACACAAATTGAAGAAAATAAAAATATTGCAATGATTTAAGATGCATAAATGCAAAAATTACTGTTTCTACATGAAAAACTAGGTCACTAGTTTTGAAATAATTTATGGTTTATTATATGGCTGGGTGTAGTGAGGTCTAATTCTATAGTATGTTTTACCACAGTTAAAAACATGCAAGTTTTCTTACTCTGAGGAAAAAACTGGAAAACATAGACAAGATGACCTTATTGATCTAAAATGCTTGACTGTTAAAGTGCCTTGTGCATTTACTGTTAAATTAGGCTTAGAACAAAAATAAATTATAAACTGTCAAAAGTGTTTGCTTTTGCTTTTCTGATCATGTGTAAACTAGTTGCACAATATTTGATTACATCATTCCAGTCACATCAGTTGCATCAAATATCATGACTGTCCAAAGACAATAAAAATGTATGGACATGGCAGAGCTTGCACAATAGTCTTCTGAATTTTTTTTTCTAGTCAGTCCCTTTCCCAGAATAGGTGCATATATTCCCAGAACTCACCAACATGAACATTAAAATGTATAAACTGCTTATTTTGATAATGGCAAGAAGAGTAAATATCTTAACACAGCTGTCATTTTAACTTGTCAAATTTAACTTAAATCATTTATTCTTTAACTATTCCTCTAAAATACCTTCCTATTATCTTCTTAACCCACAGTTTACTGCCTGTTTATTGGAGACACTGAAAGGGTTTATTTTCTCTGAAGCAACCAAAACAAATCAAATAAAAACTTGATGTGACAGGGTTTTATTTGAAGTCGGAATGAAAGCTATTGCTATATACAAAATGGACATCACATATATTCATAAATAGCTCTGTGCCATGTCTGACATTCTAGGTGTAAATGTACCGAATTCTCCTCTCTCTCTCTCCATCTCAGCTTGGAAAAAGATGGCTAAGATAAGTGGGCAAATATGCTAATCATCAAATTCATACAAGATAAGGGTACGAAAATGATGAGAGGACAAAAGTTGCAAATGGAGACATCACATCAACGAGGGCTGACAGCCCAAGGAACATTTAAAATCGGAGCCAGTACATAGCACTTCTCATTCTGTTATAATCTGGCACCTGCTCTATTGGACCTGCATAAAGAAAGAAACAATTGCAAGGTTACATAAATTCAGTTGTTAATACCAGTGACATTTCAGAATTCTTAATACCAATTTCAATACCACAGCATTGGGATAAATCTAGCAATTTCCTTCCATTAAAGTCTGTTCGCAGAATTAATTATTGTACCAAATGTCTCCATAAATAAGCTAAAGCTAGATCCAGAAAATATAACCATATTAGGTATGTTAATGATTAATCCCTGATCCACAGATGGGCTTAATTTGCTCATCTGCAATTAATTTCAGAACAAAAAAACAGTTAAGTAATCATGAGAGCAGATGGTAAAAACACTTCCTATACAGAGTCATCCGAAGCTAAAGTGAGCACTACCGCTTGAGCACTGTATGACACTTTCCCTCAATTTCACAGGCTGTTTTAACCGAAAGAAACTTGCACTGACATATCTTAAATGTTAGTGTTATTGATTTGTCTCAAGATGCTCACCAGGAATGTTTTTTTTTTCTAAGGTACTTAAATGTCCTAATTGAACTGTGGCCTAATTCTGGCTTAACCCAAGTCTTTATGTTTGTCAAACATGCACCCTTGGCTTTTAAAAGTGTGTTCTCAACATTATCAGTCATATCATAATCACTACACTGGTTACTAGTTAAATTCCTTAATTATGTGTCATGCTAATATAAAAGAGAATTCCACTAAATATTTATTCACTCCCAACACAAAATAATAAACACAAAGTGCATATTAAATATAAAAATAAACTGACTCACCAACTGCAGACACAGCTGGGCATTTGTCATAGATGTATTTAGAGCAGACATCCCGCACAATCTTGGGAGTCACAGCCTAGTAAGAAACAAAAAAGCAAATAGGTATTCTTAAATGATGCGATTTCAATTTTTCCTTTCTCTTTGGAGTGTTACAAGCTCGTGGTGCATAAAGAAGATAAAGAATAAAGTCTCAAATCCAAAGAGATATTCTTTATAAAAGTTAAGAGTCAGCCACGCCTACCTAAAACGGCTCGTTCTAACACGCCCCCACATATCTACGTCGCTATGTGGGAAGATTTGCATAACGCCGCAAAGAAAGGCGGCGTAACTTTTATTCTCGCTGTAGTTTTGTTGTTGCCGCCGCCCTGTCGTAAAGACGCGGTGTGCGTCATTGTGGAAGCGAAACTACTTTGTTTGGCCTTCCAAGAGGACGATATCTGCTTCGTCATGCCTGGAGCTGATCCATGCTGGTTGCGGAGGAAATACTACAACTTTCCGCTGTGGATTGCCGGATCGGCTTTCACCGTGGACGAAGCGGAGACCAGCCCGGAGTCGTCACATGTCCTTCCGGACGCTCCTTCGTCGAAATCGCCGGCCGCGCCGTTCTCAAGCCCACCCACCTCTGCTCACTCTAACCCTCCGGCCGTTCCTCACGCTAGCCCCCGGCCTCTGCTCACTGTAGGCTGCCGTGTGTGACGCCGTTTCGTTGTGAAAGCGAAACTACTTTGTTTGGCCTTCCAAAATTGGACACGACTAGAAATCAGTGGTTAAGTTGTATTTACAACACTGTTCCAGAACAGTTCAACCCAAATATTCAGATGTGTGCAGCGCATTTTATGGAGGACTGTTTCCTGATCCTGGGAGAGTAGACTACAATGCCGGCTGTTCTGACTCAAAGACTG